AGCAATCACTGCAGCTAAACATTTCCAGTAACTGTTGATTAGTCCTGCACACCAGTTTGGAGGAATTTTAGCCCATTCCTCCGTACGGAACAGCTTCAACTCTGGACGTTGGTGGTTTCCTCACATTAACTGCTGCTTTATTCACAACATCTGGATTGGATGAAAGTCAGGATTTTGACTTGGCCATTTCAAAACATGAACTTTATTCTTCTTCAACCACTTGTGTGCTTCAGGTCATTGTGTTGCTGCATGACCCACCTTCTCTTAGGTTCAGTTCATGGACAGATGTTCTGACATTTTCCTTTAGAAGTCTCTGATATAATTCAGAATTCATTGTTCCATCAATGATGGCAAGACGTCCTGGCCCAGATGCAGCAAAACAGGCCCAAACCATGATACTACCACCACCGTGTTGAGAAGATCAGACTTTGATAGATCACTGTTCTTTAAATCAAACAGGGTGCTCACTCACACCTGATCATCATCCCATTGATTGAAAACACCTGACTCTAATTTCACCTTCAAATTAACTGATAATCCTAGAGGTTCATATACTTTTACCACTCACAAATATGTAATATTGGATCATTTTACTCAATAAATAAATGACGAAGTTTAATATTTTTGTGTCATTTGTTTAACTGGGTTCTCTTTATCTACTTTTAGGACTTGCGTGAAACTGATGATGTTTTAGGTCATATTTATGAAGAAATAATTATAAAGTCTTCACAAACTTTCAAACACCAGTGCTATTTGTTTCCTGTCTCCTGATGCTTGTTCTGTCTCTGCATCTTGCTGTCTCACAAACACTGAATGAAGCTACATGACAAATATGTTGTGTTTACTGTTAGCGTGTTGTGTTACCGTTGGACGCTGGTATGCTGAAAAAGTCTTCTCAAACTCCTCCAGATCCAGAACTTTGAAGACCTCCAGATCATCGATTTCTTCCCAGATGGTTCCTTCTGTCTTGGCCTGAAACAAACAAATCGACAGCGTCGTGTCTCTTTCGTTGATGTCTCAGCTGTTTTGATGATAAATTCTCAGGTTTGACCAGTAAAACCAGATTCACGTCAGTCAAACTCAGCAGCAGGAACAGTTCTGACAGAAGACTTTACCTCCATCAGCTTGTTCCAGTTGAAGGACTTCAGCGGGTGAGATGGTTGAGGAATGTTCTTCTTCTTTTCTGCCATTCCTAAAGGAGCTCCTGGAGGTGGAGGGGGAGCTAACGGAGCCATGCCAAAGACCGGAGGACCTCCTGGAGGAGGAGGTGGAGGAGGAGGAGGAGGTGGAAACTTGGAGGTGGATGAGGTAGGAGTTGTAGGAACTTGACCAGCAGAGGTCACGGGTGGTCCCCCTGGAACACCTGCGGTCTAACAGGAGAAACGACAGGGCTTCAGATGTTTCACTCTGCTGTGTTTAATGACGTTCGTACAGAAACTGTTTCTGATGTCATGTTTGGTGGAGAACGTACGGAGCTGAGCTGCTGCAGACGCAAGGACAGATCCTCCACCTGCCGCTTGGCCTGCTTGTGCTCGTTGCTCTCTCGTTCCAGTTTGTCCTTCATCTTGTTCAGCGTCTCCATCATCTCGTCCTTCTCTTTGTTCTTGGCGTCGCACTCCCTGTCTTTCTTTTCCAGGCGCTGCTGCAGAATTTGTTGCTCTAAGAAGACGTGACAATAAAAATCTGCAAACAGGACCTGGAAACTCAGAGTGTGGTTCATGCATTTGGCACGTCTAGACTGGACTATTGCAATGGTTTGTTATCTGGGTGTCCAAATCCTTCTTTAAAAAGTCTTCAGATGATCCAAAATGCTGCTGCCAGAGTCTTAACTGGAGTTAGGGTTGGCTTGTTATGCTGCTATAGGCTTAAACTACTAGAGGACAAATTGACCTCATTTCATAAAATGATTTGTTAAAATTGAACAGTTTTCATTTGATAATATTTCTATCTTAACATGTGATTCTCGACCTGCCATTGTGTATCTGTTCCTCTCATACCCAGCCGGTCGAAGCAGATGGCCGCTTGTCCTGAGCCTGGTTCTGCTAAAGGTTTCTTCCTCATGAGGGAGTTTTTCCTTTCCACTGTCGCCTTCGTGCTTGCTCAAGATGAGAGTTCTGCGATGAAGTTAAACTCAAAGCAGTCTGCTTCTCAGATAAATAGTGTGAAATTATTATTTTTAGATATTAATGTTTCTGTTCAGTGCCCTGAGACGACTTCTGTTGTGACTTGGCACTTTATAAATAAACTGAATTGAGTGTTTGGATCTTGATTCTGTTTTTATGGAAAATGTGTTTGATTCTTTACCTTTTCTCAGTTTAGCAGCTTCTTCCTTCCATTGTTTCGCCTCATTTTCATTGACCAGCCTAAAAACAACAACATTGGAACAACACGCAGTAAACAATGGTTTACCTTTCTGCTGCCCTTGGGTCAAAGTGTCCCCACAGACTTCAGGGGTCATTTTGACCCGAGAGCAGCAGGAGGATTTATGTCTTTTGCTGTAAGTTATCACCTAGTTTTACTAAACAGACCAGCATGACCCATCACTGGAAACTAGATGTTTGAACTTACAAGTTCATTATGTTTTTAACGTTGAAGTCATCCAGCGGAGCAACATCTGGGTTGTCACCTTTGGCTGTCTGCAGAACCACCTGCTGAACAATCCGGTCCAACAACATCCAGTACTGAAGCGTGCTCCTGCTCTGCTTATCTGAGATTTTTTTTTAAAAAACGACTGTGAGAAGATGCTGTTCACACACACAAAAAAGGAAAATGGTGAAAGTGATGCCGTCTTACAGGGGATCAGGAGGCAGTGCTGCAGCACAGACAGCAGGTGAGGATAAGCTTCACTGTAGTTCAGCTTCTTCCTGAGCAGATCAAACATCTGGCTCGCACTTTTAGTGTCAACATGGACCTGAAGGAGCACATATCAGATCAACACACAAGAAACCGTCAATCTAAGTTCTTTACTATTTGAATGTAAAGTTTCTCACAGCGTCAAAGCGTTGGGACATCTCATATTCATCGTTGCCACGGAACTGCTCAAAGAAGTCCAGATGCCTGAAAGACACAATTCAGAGAACTATCCTACAAATGTATCAAAGTTAAGTTTTGTCCTCTGGACAGATTCTTCTTGTTGAAACGTTTCGTCTTTTATTCAAAAGACTGACGGAGGGCTGTGATCAGTTATACATCGAGGAAATTAAACAGCCACTGGCCAAAAGGATTGTCCAGCACAGAAGAGCAGCACCATCAGGCAGGCCAGTGGTCACTAGGCCTGTCACGATAACAAATTTTTTCTGGGCGATTAATTGTCTCAGAAATTATCACGATAAACAATAATATTGTTTGACAATAATTACTAATTATTGTCAAATTTAAGAAGAAATGTTTTTGACCACTGGAAGCAGTATAAGACTGTTGGAACCGAAGGATGGATAGTGAGGGAGCGAGCAGCGTGCCTCTTTAAGAAAAATGGGAAGGAAGCCCCTTGACATGACATGGGCTGTCTCTCTTCGGTTCTCTTAGGTTCTCAAAATGGCGGACGCTCGGTGTGGTTGGAGCTCTTAGCATTTTTCACACAAAGCTTTTAATTTAAAAAATCAGTAAACAAGTTCTCAGCTTCTTTTTGCAGAGAAAACAACTTTTTACACAAAGGCACAGGTTTCAATCATGAATTTTGGAGCTTCGACAAGACGGAGGTTTTTATCCCGAGGTCGGCCTGTTAGCTTAGCTTGTAGCTTAGCTTCTCTGCTTAGCTGCTTTTAACGATCCAAAAACACAATTGTGGACAGTTAAAATTAATTTTAAAAAGAAAGGGAGGAGTCAGTGAAGAACACCGGAGTTTATAAGACTGAGTTTGTTGCAGCTCCTCAGACTTTTGGATAAAAGATGAAATGTTTCAACAAGAAGAATCCATCCACAGGACCTGGCCTAACTTTGTTAGATTTTTCTACCTGGATTATTGAGCATGCATCAGGACATCCTACAAATGATCTAAGATGGAAACACCTCATGTACCTGTCCAGGGTGGCGTCTTCGTGCAGGCGAAGTTTATCAATGATCGGCTGAATGCCTAACATCAGAAACTCGTAACGTAAATGGATTCGGAAATCCAGATTTTTCTGAAAGCAAAATCACAAAAGAAAATGGAGAAAATATAAAAATTAAAATGGATATTTAAATCTTTTTATTAAACTGCATGATCATGTTTCTTCTGTCTTTATGGCTTTTAGACTTAGTGTTGCACATTGCTCTCTAAAAAAGCAATTATTGATGAATTAAGTGATATTTGATCAGCATGAGACAGATGTTCACCTCTCCTTCTCCCTGGCTGAGCAGAGCGTTGATGAAGGACATGGTGGCTGTTTTCAAACTGACTTCATCTCTGTATCGGCCGGTGGATCGGTCCAAACTTGTCAGCAGGTTCTGCACACAGAACACAAAAGGTTTAATGCTGGGAAACATTCTTCTGTTCAGTGTTTGCCATAATTTCAGGAACCACGATTCAGTTTAAACCATACTTTTACTCTGAAAGGTAACCACAGGTCACTTCCTGTTACCTGACTACATTAAACTTTACTGAAACATGTTAAAATGTTTCTGTAAAAGTCCTAGCAAATTTGAGAAACTTATTTCTAAAGGATTTCTGTAAAATTCAACAGAATATTGAGGAAAAGGTCCTGGGGTGTTCCTGAAAATTAGTTGGACTATTCCTGAAACGTTTCTGAAATATTTCAGTAAAGTAGCTTAAATATTACTGAAATGCTTCTGAAAAGTTATAATTCTATAGGGGAAAAATGTAAATTAAATATTTTAAAAAGTATAAAAGTTTTAGGGCCCAACATGTAAAGGATTCAAATTGAATCACAATTAAAAACATTGATGTGGTTTATGATTAAACCACATGAATGTGAAGAAGAGCAGACCTGGAAACGGGTTCTCTCTGAGGCGAACTTCTGGTAGTGCAGCATGGCCTCCAGGACCTTCTTATGACCTCCTGGTACCAAACAGACGGCGCCGAGGATCTCTAACACCGCCACCTGAGAACACACACATCCAAATTTTTATTACAGAGCACGAACTCCAGACGAACTTGAAAACAAATCGATCAGAAATAACCAAAGTAGAAGAAAAAGGTCCGGTTTCACTCAAAGTCGTTATCTCATTTTATCTTTCCACCAAACAGGACCGACATCAGAACAGGGACTGGTATGAAGAGAACAAACTAAAAGTAGCTCCAGTGTTTATTCAAACGTTCTTAAAATTCCACACGGGACGATTTATTTGGAAAAGTTCTGACTTCATGGGTTTGATTTGTTTCACGGGTCATTGAGCTGCTTTGACTCACTACAGGAAAGCTTCCCTTTTTATTTAATTAAGATAATCCCGTCAACCTTTGTCCCACTTTTTTATTTTCTAATCTTTGACTTACTGCTTGAACCAAAGTCGTGTGGAATAATTTCATAAAATAAAATTGATGATTCGTTATAAAAACAACCAAAGTTTTCCTCGCAGACCCACGACGTCTAATGTTTTTTAGCTCGTGGTCCAGGAAAACGTTTGGTTGTGTGTGGGCGGAGTCCAGCTTGTTACAGGTAGAGCAGGAAGTTCACCTGATGACACCTGTGCAGGTACTTCCTCCTCTGACGTTTATTTCTGCAGCTTTCACTCATCCTAACGAGCTTCTTACACACCTCAAACAGCCGAAGTGATGGAATTACAACTAACTGAATTCAATTTCCTCCCAAACTTCCAGGTGATGCTGAGACCTAAATAACTTTAGCTGAACTGTGCTGAAGTAGCTGAAACTGAGTTGTTGACGTTACAAGAAGCGGAACACTGGCTTAAAGCTAAAACAGCAGAAAACTAAGATGAATGAGCAGAACATGAGTCAAACTAAATGATGCGAAATGTTAAATAAAATAAAGTGACAAAACTATAGCTGATAGTAGCAAAGCACTAGCAAATTTAGCAAAAGGGTAGCTAAAAAAATGTAGCTGGAAACTAAAAAAAGAAAAAGTTACTAAAGTATAAAACTAGAAAAAGGCTAACTAAAATCTAAAATAGCAAATTGTTAGGTAAATGTATGAAAATGCTAACTAAATATATAACAGTAGAAAGTGGCTTGAAGCTAAAGGTTACTATGCTAAGACTAGCATATACCGTATTTTTCGGCATATAAGTCGCGTTTTTGTTTTTTGTTTTTTTTTGCATAATTTGCATGCCCTGTGACTTGTAGGCTGATTTATGGCATATTTATGGATTTTTCCCCCCCTGTATTTATAAACCAATTTTTGGCTGAGATATGACCGTTTTCATTCAATGACTGAAAAAAAAAAAAAAAAAATTAACAGTACCATTTTCAGCCACTAGATGGCAGCAGAGTAGCTTTAGCAGTATGGCATGCCGTTGTATAATGTAATAGGTAAACGTGGCTATAATGACAAATTCACAAAAGTTCACACAAACAATTGGACTTTATTTATTATCCTTTACTTTATACTTTATTGTTTTTGTCTTGAACTTTTTTTTGAATATACCATGTCCTGGATGACTGAGAATCTTCACCAGCTATTAATGACACAAGCGGCTTGCCATAGAGCCCCCACCTTCGTTCTGCTCGCTTCTTGGAGCAAGTCAAACCAGCTGCACTGCCTCGGTGAAATGCAGCTAATTCCGCAAATCGGATTTTGAAATACAGATGATTTGACCATCAAAGTGCATTTATTAAGCAAAAGTTAGACTGAGACACACCTTTACTATAATTTTGAGCAAACAAATAATTGTTCTTAAGTGTTAATCTTGTTAAATTCTTGTTAAAGTCCTCCTGTGCACATTCCAGCGGCCACCATTTGGCAGCCCATCGATTTTTGGCAAAACACCGGCCCACATTTCTCGGTTATCAGTGGTGACGCGTAATAGATGCGACGTATACGGCAAAGAGACATACTAATGGAATTTTCCACTTTTGTAGACATATTTGGACTGATGTGACTTATAGGGCGGTGCGACGGGTACGGCGGAAAATACGGTATATCTCACACAGTATATGTAACTGGGGTCTGCTACATGTTCACACCTTGGTTTTGATGTTTTCAGCAGCCAGACTTTGTGCGATGATGTTGATGCTCTCAGGGTGTCCCAGTACATGAGCCCTGCCCTGAGAGCTGTTCATCAGGGCCTTGAGGCAGCCGATCAGAGACGTATGGACCGTGGACTCGCACGTCTCATACTCCATCTTCTTCAGGAAGTTCAGGAGGCAGGAGAGACCGTCCAGCTCAATGAACCGGGTCACAAAGCTGCAGGAGATAAGTGACAGTGAGAACTGGTTAGTCTCAGAGGTTCAGGTGAGTGATCACCTGTTGGACTGAGAGCACACACCTGATTGGTTGAGTCCGTAGAGCTGTTTTCAAACCATCTATGACCTTCTGGTTTTCTTCTTTCAGAGACTCCAGATTGTTCCTCTGAGGAGACAGGGCCCAAACAGAAACCAGGAAACACATCCTGAAGCCGTTATTTGTTTTATTTATCCTTCAGGAGGGTGAACAGTTTATCACTTACAGCAGCCATCAAGTTGATCTTATCGATGTAAGACTGAGGTTGGCTGGTCACTTCTTTCTCATCTGGTCCCTGAAAAACAAACAAACAAACAGATTAAAACTAGATAAATTCACCAGTCAGTAAAAATGTTGTGTGAATGCTGAATGGTGTTGCTGAAAATTTCAGAAAGAACTAAAATATCATTATCAAAGCTAAAAGATGCAGAACACTAAGTAGAAGCTAATGAAAAGCAAAATGGTAGCTAAATGACAAAAGCGGCAAAGCACTAACTGAAAGCACCCAAACGTTAGCTAGAAGTTGAGAGTAGCAAATAACTAAAGGTAAAGTAACAAAATGTTAGCTGTAACTATCTAAAGTCTTGCTAAATCAACAGTGGAAGGGCTGGCTATAGGCTAAAAGAAGCAAAACACTACCTAAAGGCTAAAAAAAGCAAAACACTAGCTAAAAGTAGAAAAAAGGTTATCTAAAAATAACAAAAACTACCTGAAAGCTAACTGTTAGCTATGAGTCGCCAAAGATTAGCAAGAAACAAACAGTAGCAAAAAGCTTATTACAGGCTAAAAGTGGCAAAATGCTAGTTATAAATAGAAAAATAGTAGCTAAAAAATAAAAGTACTAGTAGGAAAAATTTACAAAAAACATAAAGGGGTTAGCTAAACATTGACAGACGGGGGGGGTCACACCAGGTATGAAAGCAAAGGTTCACAATTACATACTTTTGTAAGTCACAAATATGTAATATTGGATTATTTTCCTCAATAAATAAATGACAAAGTATAATATTTTGTCTTGTTTGTTTAACTGGGTTCTCTTCATCTACTTTTAGGACTTGTGTGAAACTCTGATGATGTTTTAGGTCATATTTGTGCAGAAATATAGAAAATTATAAAGCATTCACTAAACTTTCAATCACCACTGACTGTGGCTCTTTACTGAATTCAGTCCTGCACATTGTTGTCAGACTCCAGTCACATGTGAAACCTCCTGGTGCCTCCCCAGTCTGTTCATGGCCTGTCCCAAAGTGTCGTCTTTTGCTTTTTCAAGTATGGTTTTTGCTGCTAAGTGACTCCTGGTCCGAACATGTTCAAATGTTTTTTTACGAAGTGCTCTTTTCTGCTTTGTTATGTCAGAGGCAGGTGAAGTTATTAAACACAACACCCATTCTGTGGCCAGTTTCATTCCACCAGTCTTCTCTGGTCCTGAAGTCCCCACTGCCTTGCATGTAGAGCAACCCAAACCGGATTTTCCCATTAAAAGCCATGGATAATGAGTCTTCTTGGCCTTGAACTGGGCAGCTGTCCAGATTGTTGGGCATCCCTCACTTGACGGTTCTTCTGAGCCTGACTCTTCTCTGCTGTTGTCCTCCTCCACACGTGAAACCTCAGGGGGTTCATGGCGGCTGCCTGTGGGCTCCTGCACGGGTAACGCTGTGTTAGCTCGGCACTCATCCGCCACAGCACTCGCTCCTGGTCCAGTATCTCCATTGTCACGGTCTTCATGTGCTTCAATTGTCGGTTGTTTAGTCGGACAACGAGAATCAATTTTTGTAAAAAAATATAAAATAAAAAGAAAGTAAATTGGACTGTCTTTTTGACATTTTGATTTATGTTTATATTTTGAAAAATGGCGCAGTTGTTTTACGTCATGAACGTACGTCACGTGATTGCCCATCAAATATGTATTTCGTAGTTTAATAAACGATTAAAATTTTATTAATGATCCACTTAAATTATAAAACTGATTTGCAATTTTGTTATGCTTTTTAATTATATATTTTGAGGGGGGCTTTTTTATAAATATGCCCGAGGACTTTGGACTTTAGAGGCGGAAATTTGAAGGGTCAGATAATCTTATGTGATATTAAATTCAACTCAATTCAGTTTATTAAGAAGCAGCTCGTAAGCAGTTCTGTTTTGTTTAAAGATTTATGTAATTATTTTCAGTTTACATAAACAGTATAAGTGTTATTCGTTCAAGGCAGTTAAATTTATTCATAAGTACATTATTAGTAGGCCTGTGATTGTAAACATACATTGTTTGTGTTTATCTGATTATGTCCTTCATTTCTTGTATTTCAGGCTGTGATAAGTTGCAAAACAAGCTGGTAACAACTCTGTAATCTTTCCTTTTCACAGCACTAAAAAGAGTAAAGAGTGATAAGAGTGATGATGCTACTGATTGATGAAGTGCTTCAGGTGTTTGTTTTGTTTGTGTGTTTGTTTGTTTTTTGTCCCTTTCATTTTACAAACACATCCTAAAGTTTTAGTTTTTCTTGTGAATGGATAAATATTCCTTTTTGGTAGAGTTGGTGCTTGGTTCGGTACTTTTTACTTTATAAATGCTTCCTTTAGGTAAATGTCTTTGATAGCCTGGAATAAATATCTGTCGTTACGCTGATGATACTCTTTTATATTTATCTGTGTGTTATAGCTTAAAGAATCCAGTGGATCTAAAAATCCTAAATGTTGTGGTCTTTCAATCTGAGCGCCAGGAATAAACTTACTCTGGGTGGTCTTAGCTTCCAATGTATGGAACCTGAGTGGTATTTTTGTTCTTTAACTTTCGTATCTATAAAATCAACAAAAACACTATAACTATCCTGTCCTGAATAAGTGCAGTTCAGTTTATCTTTTGTCTGCTTCCTTCTGCAGAGATCGCCCTTTCTGACGCAACCTGGATTCAAGCCTACAGTCGCAACATTACAAAACCACAGCAATGACCACCGAGCTACCTCAGCACCAAAGAGATAGAGTGTAATACACAAATAAACAAGTATTTTTTTAACTTTTGTCTGTCCGATTGATTAAAACTTATTTTTCCGGTGCAACAGGTGTGTTGGCATCTTACCATTTTCTTACTGCAGTAAATCTGCCACTTCTTCTCAGCTGGCAGAGCAAACATGGCTGCTCTGTGCTCCTCTGACAGCTCCAGTTCATCCTAAATGGGACACAAAATCAGGATGAGTTTCAAGGCTGGACCCAGAACCCCAAACAAGGACTGCGTCTCTGAACGCACCACCAGCTCGGTGAACTTGGAGTCCAGCTCCTGCTGGGGGGGCACTGGCTGCGAGAGCAGCTCCATCCCGGTGACGACGATTTGTGGCTCGTCCCTTTCTTTGTAACAGCAGGGAAACAAGGAGGACATGTTACGGCCCCAGTGCTTCTTCCCCTGGGTTGTCATGGTTACGGCAGGTGTTGCCTGAGGAGACAGGTACATTTATCACCAACACAATGAAACAAAAACACATTTCAGGTCTGCAGGTTCTGAGTTTTAACTTTTAATTATCAGCCTATTAGAAAACCAAACAATACTGTTTTACCAGTATTTTCCCCAAAATGTTCTTTTTTCACTTTTTTTTTTTATTTTTTTTTATCTGAACATTTAATTGGGAACTCATTTTTCCCAACCAGTTTTTTTGCGTCAAACTATTCACAAAAAGAAAAAATATATATAAATGTATTGTAATTTAATATATAAATATAGTAACAAATAAAACTATAATGTCCTTTACATGTTCTTTTTCTGCTCCGGATGAAATGTGAAAACCTGTACCAGAGCCGCCACAAAAAGAGGGTGATCGTGTAATTATCTCTGTATTAATTTTTTTTGTCTGTTAGCAAAATATCTCATGAACCACTGGACAGATTTTAATGAAACTTTCATTAAGTAAAAACTGCAACTGATTCCATTCCAAGTCAGCTTGATTCAAGATGGCCACCACTGCTGATGGCTACAACTCAGTCAGTTTTACTGATCTTGGGTTAAACTCTGGAGTGGTAGTAGCTGAGAGTCATCCACAACACATATTTTGAGCACAAACAGATTAGACAGCATCTTTGTTTAACATTTTGACCTGCAAGTCAGCGGGTGATGTGCATTCTTTCAAGGATTGATCTTTAGTGGCCATTTTATTTTACAATGTTCGTATTTTGAAGCTTTAAGTTTGTTTTGTTTATATTGTTTTGTTGTTTGCGTTACTGCGTATTTATACATACTGACCTTCTTTTCTACTCTGTTTTACTCAGTTTAAAATCGTTTTTCTGAAACTCAAATTCTTTCATGTTTTAGATTTATTCGTATTGTTGACTTGCGCTGATCGTGACTTATTGTGTTTTGTTTTGTTTGCTTGTTTGTTTTTTTATTTTGGGTTTTAAAATGGGATATTGCTGACACCTGAGCAGGTGACAAATTAAGTCAGCTGTGGATTCGCGAGCTGTCATTACTTTTCCTCCATGTTTGTATTTGCTGTTATGACAACTGTAGTTTATTTATTTATTTATTTATTTATATCTTTCGTTAACTGATCGATTTTGTTTTCTGACTTAGACTGAATTAAAATGAAGTAAAGTTTACAATGTGCTTATTTGGACTAAATGTCATCAGCTTTATTATGTTGTTTGATTGTTTAAATTATAGTAAAATGAAATGAATGGATTTGACGATGTATGATGTGTTGTTTTGAAAAATACATAATATATTTTCAGATTAAAAAGCAGAATTTACAACCCAAATCAGTCCACAGAGTTTAAACAAACACCAAACAATGATGATCCAAAGTCCACAAACTGAAACATCTAAGTTTGCTGACCTCAGACTAAAACCAGAGCCAAGGTTTCACTTTTAAACAGAATTTAACTGATTTTAGTTTAATCTTCTCTGTGTTTCTGACGGATTTATCACACCTGAGTTACACACAGGTGTTAAGATCAGGTCAATCCCATCCCAGGATGGGTTTTTATTACTCATAACAAAAATATTTCATCAAATAAAATAAAATATATTGATGTGACGTGGACAAAAGCCGTGTTTTCTTGTGAATCTGCAGCTCCAGAAACCAGTAAAACCTGAAATTTGGATTTCTAAACCATCTGGTGTTAAAGATTTATAAGATATTTTAGATAAAAATAAAAAAAAGACTTTCTTACCTTTGAGATCCTCCCTATAGAAAAATGTGGGAAGTCATTTTCGGGCTGTGATGGGTCAGAACCTTAAAGTCCAACATGCTGACGAAGGCAAACTGTGATTCTTCTCTTTAAATGTTTTGAATCATCACAACAACAAAAATGAAAAATCTTTAAAAATAAAAAGTCATCACGTCCAAGAAGGAAAACTAAACAACTCACTCGGTCTGTTTCCTCCACAGGTGCACAGACTCACCTGTTTTCAGGAGCTGATTCACGTCGTTCATCCAGTTTCACAGAAACCTGCAAGACTCCACCAAAGACTCAGCGTCTGCTTGTGTGCCTCTGATGTCATGCTCAGTGTGTGTGTGCGTGTGTGTGTGTGTGTGTGCGTGCGTGTGTGTGGAGGTGTGCACGTCCAGCAAACTGTCAAGCCCATGAGTGTAACTCTGGAGTTTCAAACTCAACAGCATTCCTGCAGCAGGAGTCACACCCAGCCCCACCCCTGCAGCTGCAGCAGCAGGTGGGGTGAGGCTGTGGGTCACACGTTTGATGCTCAGTCATTTACATCTGAGCAATTCAAACGATGGACCGAACCTTTTGGTGCCTTCAGAACCTACCCCAGGTATTTGCATCAGCAGGTTGAAGTCACCTGATGCTGAGCGTGTCGGTGCACTGATCAAAGATCTCATCTCTGTTGTTCTGTCTTTAGGTATTAAATTATATATTTTTATGATTCACTCAAAGAAATCCATCTGAAACCTCAACCCATGCAGCTCTGTCTCAGATCTTTCTATTTATCCAGACTGGATTCGGTTTTGGTTTTAAGATTCTCGCTAACTTCCCTCAAAAGTTTAGTGGGACTTGTCTAATTCTGCTAACTTGGACTAATTTTGGACAGGTCTAAACTTAATCTTCTGGACTGGTGGAACCCTGACCCTTTGAAGACATGCTCAGGTCTAATGCCTACCATCTGAACTAGTCCAACACTGACCCTCTGTACAAGGAAGCTAACTCTAACATTCTGATCAGGTCTAATCATGAATGTATGCACAGGTCTAACCATGGAGAGGTCCAATCTTAACCTTCTGTACAGGTCTATGGTCTACCCACAACCTTTTAAGCAGGTCTAATCCTAAACAGAACTAACCTTTACCCTCTGTAGAGGTCTGATCCTTAACATCTGTACACGTCTAAACACAACCTTCTGAACAAGTTTAACCATAAACAGAACTAACCTTTACCCTCTGTATAGGTACAATGGTGAATGGTTGTTTGTCTCGTTTGTCTCTATGTGTCCCAGTGATGGACTGGAGACCTGTCCAGGGTGTCCCCCGCCTATCGCACAGTGATGACTGGATATGGGCACTAGTGACCCCCGCAACCCAAAAAGGAAGAAGTGGGTAAAATATACGGGATGGATGTTTCAAACTCAGGTTGTGGGGGCAACAGCTTGAGTAGGGAGGTCCAGACATCCCTCTCCACAGCCACCTCTTCCAGCTCTTCTGGGAGGACCCCAAGGTGTTCCCAGGCAACTTGAGAGACATAGTCTCTCCAGTGTGTCCTGGGGCTTCCCTGGGGTCCCCTCCCAGTTGGACATGCCCGAAACACTCCCCCATGTAGTCGCCCAGGGAACATCTTTACCAAATGCCCAAACAACCATAACTGGCTCCTTTCGATGTTGAGGAGCAGCGGTTCTATTCCGAGTCTCTCCCAGATAACTGAACTTCTCACCCTATCTCTAAGGGAAAGTCCAGCTACCCTGCGGAGGAAACTCATTTCAATTGCCTGTATCCATGATCTCATGCTTTCAGTCACTACCCAGAGCTTGTGACAATAGGTGAGGGTGGGAACATAGACTTACCAGTAAACAGAGCTTTGTCTTACAGCTCAGTTCCCTCTTCACCACAATGGACCAGCACAGAGTCCACTATACTGCAGATGCTGCACCAATCCGTCTGTCAATCTCACACTCCATTCTTCCCTCGCTCGTGAACAAAATCCCGAGATACTTGAACTCCTTCATTTGAGGCAGAACCTCACCCTCGACCTGAAGAGAGCAATCCACCCTTTTCCGACTGAGGACCATGGCCTCAGATTTGGAGATGTTGATTCTCATCCCAGCAGCTTCACACTCGGCTGTGAACCGCTCCAGTGAGAGCTGAAGATCAAGACACGAGGACATCAACAGGACTACATCATCTGCAAAGAGCAGAGATGGAATCCTGAGGTCACTGAATCAGACTTCCCACGCCCCCTGGCTGCACCAAGAAATTCTGTCCATAAAAGTCATGAACAGAATCGGTGTCAACGGGTTGCCCTGGCAGAGTCCAACTCCCACCCTGAAGGGGTCCGACATACTACTGGCAATGAGAACCAAACCCACACACTGCTTGGAATCAAACAGCCTGTAGCAAAGAGCCCCCAATCCCATATTTATGGAGCACCCCCCACAGTGTACCTGGTGGAACATGGTCAAAAGACTTCTCCAAATCCACGAAACACATGTAGACTGGATGGGCCTCTTTCCTCACCAGAGAGGCCACATTCCATGTCCCAAGAGCCAGCTTTGGTAAGTCAGAGTCAGAGCACCAAGGCCCCCGCCTTCGGCCACTGTCCATGGCATCATGCACCCCACTTGTTTGGCACCTCCTGCAGGTGGTGGGTCCACAGGAAGGCAAACCCATGTTGCTCATTCAGGCTGAGCCTGACCGGGCCCCATGGGTAGAGACCCAGTCACCAGGCACTCGCTGATGAGCCCCTCCCCCAGGCCTGGCTACAGGGTGGGACCCCAGTAACCCAAGTCTGGGCAAGGGACACTGAGCTCCTGGTTTTTGTTTGTTCATATGTCTTCAGAACTGCTCTTTGTCTAGCCTGTCACCTAGAACCAATCTGCCTTGGGAGACCCTGCCAGGGGCTATTACAATTGCCCCCAACAGCAGAGCTTCTAGGATCATTTAGGCGCACAAACTCCTCCACCACGATAAGGTGGCGATTCAAGATGGGTCTAACACCCAGTTCAGCCTTTACTGATTGCAAGGTTAGACTCTAATTCTGACCCCCTGAAAAGGTCTCACCTCCTGGTGTTCCACCAGAACATGATATTCATGGTGTAATTGATCAAACGTCACTGGATTGACGATCCAGACAATGATCCATAATGTGACTAAACTTATTTTCTGACAGTTTTATTTAAACTTTCTTGTCTACATCTATCTTAGATTCTTACCAGTTTGAGGGAAACTTTTCTCTGACACGGTTAGATTATGTTGATCTGTTTGTTAGATTATTTAAACATGAACTGCAGGAATCACCTGAATGACTTTAAATTCTGCATGAGATTGACTTTTTCTTTTTGCCCTTTAGTTTATTTTATCAGTTGGGAACCAGAAATATGGACTACTTAAATTCTTGGATCTTTCTTATTTTTAAATGTGTTGAAAAAGATCCTGGGATTTGTTAGCACCAGACTCATATCATTTAGAGGTAAGAGCCGTATAATTATCTGAGATCTCTGTCTGTTGTGTGTTATGAAGCCAGACGACATTCCAGCTGACACTGTCTGATCTGCAGCAGGAAAAGTGACAGTTGCTTCATTTTAGCGTTCAAGACGAGCCTCGGTCCTGTTTGTCACACAGGAAATGATCGGGGCAGAGACGTCAGGAACCAAAGTTCTCAGACGAGAAAGTGTCAGCTATGTTGTGTTTCTGTTGAACAACAACTCTGAGTTCTCAAACTTATATCAGGAAACAGATTTTCTCCTCCACGTTGAACACTTCAATTATTTTTCGTCTTCAGGGGTCGCCATTGTGAGTCATTCTCCTCCGTCTTACTCTGTCCTCTGTCGTAACTCCAATGGCCTACATGTCCTCGCTTACTGCATCCACATACAGGCGCTGGTCATAAAATTTGAATATCATGAAAAAGCTGATTTATTTCAGTAATTTCATTCAAAAAGTGGAACTTGTATATTATATTCATTCATTACACACATACTGATATATTTCAAATGTTTATTTCTTTTAATGTTTATTATTTTAACTGACAACTAATGAAAACCCCAAATTCAGTATCTTAGAAAATAAGAATATTACTTAAGACCAATAAAAAAAAGGATTTTTAGAAACGTTGGCCAACTTTAAAGTATGAACATGAAAAGTATGAGCATGTACAACACTCAATACTTAGTTGTTACTCCTTTTGCCTGGATTACTGCAGTAATGTGACATGACATGGAGTCGATCAGTCTGTGGAACTGCTCAGGTGTTATGAGAGCCCAGGTTGTTCTGATAGTGGCCTTCAGCTCTTCTGAATTGTTGGGTATGGCATATCACATATTTCACAATACCCCATAGATTTTCTATGGGGTTATGGTCAAGGTGAGTTTGCTGGCCAATTAAGAACAGGGATACCATGGTCCTTAAACCAGGTACTGGTAGCTTTGGCACTGTGTGCAGGTGCCAAGTCCTGTTGGAAAATGAAATCTGCATTTCCATAAAGTTGGTCAGCAGCAGGAAGCATGAAGTGCTCTAAAACTTCCTGGTAGACGGCTGTGTTGACTTTGGACCTCAGAAAACACAGTGGCCCAACACCAGAAGATGACATGGCACCACAAACTATCACTGACTGTGGAAACTTGACACTGGACCGCAACGTGAATTCTGTGCCTCTCCTCTCTTCCTCCAGACTCTGGGACCTTGATTTACAAAAGAAATGCAAAATGTACTTTCATCAGAGAACATAACTTTGGACCACTCAGCAGTAGTCCCAGGCGTGACACTTCTGATGCTGTCTCTTGTTCAAGAGTGGCTTGACACAAGGAATGCAACAGCTGAAACCCATGTCTTGCGTACGTCAGTGCATGGTGGTTCTTGAAGCACTGACTCCAGCTGCAGTCCACTCTTTGTGAATATACCTCATATTTTGGAATAGATTTTGTTTCACAGTCCTCTCCAGGGTGCAGTTATCCCTATTGCTTGTACACTTTTTTGTACCACATCGTTTCCTTCCCTTCGCCTCTCTATTAATCTGCTTGGACACAGAGCTCTGTGAACAGCCAGCCTCTTTAGCAATGACTTTATGTGTTTTGCCCTCCTTGTGCAAGGTGGCAATGGTTGTCTTTTGGACAACTGTCAAGTCAGCAGTGCTCCCCATGAGTGTGTAGCCTACAGAACTAGACTGAGAGACAATTTAAAGGCCTTTGCAGGTGTTTTGAGTTAATTAGCTGATTACAGTGTGGCACCAGGTGTCTTCATTATTGAACCTTTTCACAATATTCTAATTTTCTGAGACACTGAATTTGTGGTTTTCATTAGTTGTCAGTTATAATCAACAACATTTAAATAAATAAACATTTGAAATATATCAGTCTGCGTATAATGAATTAATATAATATACAACTTTCACTTTTTGAATGGAAATACTTAAATAAATCAACTTTTTCATGATATTCTAATTTTAAGACTAGTACCTGTATTTGGCCTTCTTCTTTGTCTTTTTCCTGACAGCTGCATTTCTAACATCCTTGTACCAATATACCCACTGTCCCTCCTCTGGATATATCCAAACTATCTCAGTCTGTCCTCTCTAACTTTTGCTAACACCTTTTTGTCACATATCACTCCTGAAAATGTTCTCCATCCACTCCATCCTGCCTGGACTGTTTTTCCAGAGGACAGTTGGATAGCTCTGTTTATCAGAGGGTGAAAGGACAGCTCGGTCAAATAAATGCTGATTGGACAGCTTGGGCCCTTGGAGGTTGATCCTGAAAATATTTTTCTTTGACACCAAAAAAGGATGAAAAGAAAGGTCAAAGGTTAGACAATAAATCAAACTGTGCTCACCAGCCTTTTCTAATTGTAATGTTCATATTCTCCCACGAAGGGGTGCTGTGGTACAAAAATCATTAACTTTTAGATTTTTTAAAAAAATTATTATTATTACTCTTTTACAACTTCTGTTAAAAAAAAAGAATAATTATCATTTGAACTTGGCTCAAAAGGTGTCTGCAACAGGTAATCACAGATAAAACAACTAGGAAATAACCTATTTAATATAAAAAAATAAAAACAATATTAAAATGCAAATTAAACTATAAAAAAACAACACAGATTACTCTATTTCTTGTAAAATCAGTTCACTTTCTGTTACTTTAGTTTTTAAACATCATTTTGTGTGTGATTTTTAAAGTGTGGTATATTGTATTTTTACAACCATGACCAAAAAAAAAAAAGATGAACAGTGAAGGTAAAACATTTTATTATAACCTTAAATGTTTAAATGAATCACAAAACTATTTAAAACCAGAATATGTCACATTGCCAGATTTTTGCTCATTATCTTTAAAAAAACCCACAAAAATAACCATGACAATCATTCTTATGTTTGCTGACGTTAAATAGCTGTGGCAGCCATCTTGAGTTAAGATGACTACACAATAATTAGCTGTAAATGTTTCCTGCATGCTTAGTAATACTCTAGATGTTCAACCAATGCTGAGTCAGTAAAATCCACTCATTGATCTTTGATCAGTTTTGCTAACAGACAGACAAATGGCAGATAATAATAATAATGAAGGTTCTGTCCAGTGTGAAAGCTCCCTGAGCTACATTCTGACCTGATACGAACTTCAGATGTTTCTTTTTAGCTTTCTGAGGATGAAAATTTTAATTTCTAGAAATTTTAAAATGTAAATAAACAAACAATGTAACTTTTCTGTGTAAGATGGATTTTAAACGAGTAAATGAACCTTTTTGGGTCCACGTGGTTCATTTAGACAAACGCTCCGGTTAAAGTCTAGAGCTGGTCGTATGAAAGCTGCTCAAAATCATCTGAACATCGACGGATCGGATCATCGGAGTACGGTAAACGCAACCAGCGATCTGACAAACAGATCAGATAAAAACAAGCAACGTCTCACAGGCTGGTATCCGCCGTCTTGGTCTTTACCTCAGCTCCGATGTTGGCCGGCGTCATGGTGTCAAGCCGAGTGTCTCTGCAGAAGAACACGGCCGGGTTCCTACAGGCCCACATGGCTACCTCTCCTCCTGTTTTCCCGGGACTGGAACTCGACAGCCGGCTGTTGTTCATCCCCGCTCGGCTCACGTAGCGGTCCCTGATCCTCTCTGTCTGGTTATGCCGGACCTCTCGGTTGCGGCTCTGGCTGGAGAGGTACGCAGCAATGTTTCTGGTCCGATATCCTTCCTCCCTGCTGCGGCCCAGTAACATGGAGATATTTGGGTTCCTCAGGGCATAGATCAGAGGGTTGATGGCTCCATTGGACCAGGCCAGCCAGATGGCCACTGTGTCCATGGCCGGGTTGAACCTGTAGTTCCCGATGGCCGTGACCAGGCCCATTAAACAGTACGGACCCCAGCAGCAGATGATGAACACTATCATGATCAGTACTGTGGTGGCGGTTCGCATCTCGCTGTAGAACCGCAGTAAGTAGACGTACGTGGTGACGGGTCTGACTCGGATCTCCGAGAGTCGGACGGTCTTACAGATGTTGTAATGGCAAAAGCACATAAGGGAAAAGGGCACCAGGTAGCACACCACGATAAGGCAGACGCTGTACGCTGTCCCCACACTGGAGCTGCTGGAGTGGAACACATACATACAGTGGTAAAAACCAGGTTTATGAACGTCTGTTGGTGTTCGGACCAGTAGATACGCGGGCAGGGAGAAAACCACCGCTGTGACCCACACAGCCACCAACAGCTGGGCAGCTTTCTGACACCCGATCTTAGCCTGAGGCTGCCGGACGATGGCGTAGTACCTATCAAAAGAGATCAGCGTCATGGTGAGGGTGGAGATGATGCCGAAGCAAGTGTTGAAGAAGCCGTTGGCGACGCAGAAAGCGTCTCCGAACATCCAGACACCGTCCTTGCTGAAGAGCATGACGAAGGAGAAGGGCAGGCACAGGATGGCGGTCAGGAAGTCGGACAGCGACAGTGACATGATGAAGGCATTGGTCACTGTTCGGAGCTGTCTGTGTTTGACGATGACAATGACGACCGCGGAGTTACCCAGGCTGGAGAGAAGGAAGATGGACAAGAGCACCAGGGCCTGAGCCGCCACCGTAACACCCTGCAGAGCCGAGTTACTGTCAGCGACGCTCAGGACTGCCGCCGTTGACGATATCTGATGGGCATCACCGAGATCGCTGCCCCTCTGCTCTCTGAGCGCTGAGAGGTTCCCTGTCGTTCCCTCTGCAGCCTGAGTGGCGGCGGTCACCAGGCTGGTTATTATGGAAACAACCCTGTGGACACACCCCCAAACAGATGGAGAAGTTATTTCACAACTGAGCTCTTCATACATAGATCTGCAAAGTTACTGTGTGCAGACGTTGCCATTTTTGTGTCAGCGAAGGTTGATTAGCTGTGGTGGCGACCATCTTGTGTCAGGTTAACTCCATTAGTTGCCGATGTATAGTCAGTGATTGCTTTGAGAGTTTTATTCAGATCCATAAAGTGGTTCATGAAATGTTTTGCTAGCAAACAAATTATGCACTGACATTTGTTTAGCCCTGTCATTGGGGGTCCTGCCCTCCTGGTCCCCCAACTTATTGACGCCCCTGGTAAATTTTCTAACTGCAGACCTTCTTCTTGATAGGCTCAGGAATTGTGTCAGAATGTCTCGGGGTTAATCCAGAATCCTGCTCTGATTCTGGTGTTTACATTTAAGTAAGCACAGTGAGGATGAGGAGGAGGAGGAAGAGGATTACCTTGGCTCCACAGGTGAGGAGGTGCTCAGCTGGCTGATGATGGAGTCAGAAGTGTAGTTGATTCCGCCCCGCAGGGCCCTGCTAACAGGTGAATCCATGGATGAAGAACAACAGAGTGAATCCGAGGTTCACTTCCTGTCATCCCCACTGGCAGCAGCAGGAAAACCCAAACTGGATCCCATCAGAACCCAGTCAGTCCTGCTGCTGCAGCTGAAGATGAATTATTGATGGTTTTGTCCCATAATCATCCTGGTGACCTTCCTCTACTCTGGGATGAGGAGGTCACGGGCTGAAGCTGCGATCGACCTGCAGGAGTCTTCATCAAATATGGATGAGCCCACATTTAGAACCGAATCACACAGAAACATCGTTTGCTCGTTGAAGGGGATGCTGCTTTTATTCTGCTGCCTCGTGCCCAGATGTGTAGGAACATCTGCTCAGAGGAGTTTCAAACATCCAAACATGATGGTAAATCATGGGATATTGTGATAAAAACCGGGATAAGAATGTAACCGGAGTTACACACCTTCAGTCTGGAAGACGGACCTCAGACCAGCAGGAAAAACCAGAACCCGTCCCTGCTGCAGCTCAAAACCGATCCCGGTGCAGCCTGCAGCCCCAGCAGCAGATCAACACTTATCGATCATCTCACAATCACTTCCTGACCAGCACGCGCTCGTTCTCTGACCGTCTCTTTTAGAGCTGCGTGAATGACAACCCCACTTAGCTCCAAACGCGCGCGTGCGCGAGCAGACCGGAAGCTACCTCTGTGCGCGCGCTGCCTGCGTGCTCGGTGGTTCCGCGCACGCACCTACAACAGCCTGCATTCAGCTCAGGCAGGCTGCGGAGCTGAGTGTGCGGTGACAGATTTGTGACTGTTGCCATGGTAACAGCAGGTGATGCGCGGTCCTGTCAGGCTCCAGGTGTTTGATGGGTCTAACAGTTCACATACGGCATCACGTGACTCAGGGATGAGATTTTTATTTTCCTCCTTCAACCTGTAAATATTGAAAGAAGAAAAAAAGTTGTTCCAACTTCAATTACACGTTTATAAAACATCTGATCCGGCAGCGTGTTCTTCCGGGTTCTGCAGGGTTCGGATCAGGTTTTAGATCTGCCTTGGAGGATTTTGTTCCTGTTCTGTTCATGTAGTTTCTGACAGATGTGCAGATTCATGCTGGTTTAGGCTCCAGTATTTTGTTCTGCTTCTTCTCATCAAGATGATTCTCAGTGAAAGTCCATTTCATTTTGAGATAGAATAAAAAAAAAATTCTGTGGGAGGAAACTGGAGTACCCGGAGAAAACCCACACACGCACGGAGAGAACATGCAAACTCCACCCAGAAAGACCACTGTCCCTAAACCGGGGTTTGATTGGTAGCACGATGGCTCAGTGGTTAGCACTGTTGACTCACAGCCAGAAGGCCCTGCGTCCAATCCCCGGTTGGACCCAGGGCCTTTCTGTATGTTTGTTCTTCTCGTGCTTGCATGATTTCTCTCCAGGTACTCCAGTTTCATCCCACAGACCAAAAACATGCATGTTAGATGTCCTCCAGGCCTCCCTTGCAAAAGGGATCTGTGATCTCAATGGGATTTACCTGGTTAATAAAAGTTAATGAAATAAAATAAACCAGGGTAACCTGCTCGCTGAGCGCCATCGTGCTGCACGACAATATATACAATTTATTGTTAGGATAAAGAAATAACCAACCATAATGAGGTGATTTGGCAAGTTTGGGGGCAACCAAAAAAATATACAATACAACTTTATTTATAAAGCACTTTAAAACAAGACAGTTGGCCAAACTATCAATCAACTAACAATGAACATTATTTTACTTACTGGAAACACAATATGTAATTTATGTTTTAAAAAATAATAATAAATCCTTAGTTCACTGTTGTCACATTTCCTGCATTGTTTTAATTCCATAATTTAAATAGTTTTTATTTATGAGCCTAACACTGAAACAAACGTTCCTTTTTTAGTTCAGCTCGTTCATTACTTAAATTACGTTCCTTTAAGTTGTAGGAAATTTATATAAAATCATGTCTTGTCGTCTTGTAGATAACAACTCCTGAATATAAAAGTATTTTTTTACAAAATGTGACCCTAGACGTCTTTTAATCTTGTTAAAACAGCAGTTTTTCAGCGTTTCTTTCCTCCCATATATGGCGGACATGTTAGTGGCGTCACGTCCTGTTGGGGCGGTGCTGCTCCTTTAAGTAGCTGCGCTACCGCGTGAAAGCCGATGAAGAAGAAGAAAAAAAACAGACGAAGAAGAAGAAAGAAAACGAAGAAGAAGAAATAAGGGAAAAATTCGCATCGGAGCGAGGAAAGAAACATATTTTACTGAATAAATGTTGTCAAGATGAGTTCGGGTGAGCAGCGTTTTTTGTTTTTATTTGGTTATTTATTTTTAAATAAAGAAACTGCGACGAATTCGATTCTGTTTTGGACCTTAATGGTACGGCTTTAATTATTAACATCATCCGAACAAAAATGTAAAAGGATGGATATAAACAAACATTTACCTGTTTAACTGGAACCGTGAAGAAACTAATGATCTATATGGGTTTGTTTGTGTAAAATTAAAAATATATATTTAAATTGATTATGATCGTTTATGTTATATGTACTATTATTAGAGGCATCCTAATTTTTTTTTAAGGTTTAATTTTTTGAAAATCAACTCGTAGATTTTGCTTCCTATAAAAATATAAAACAATGCAGTTTGGAAATAACTTCTGTAATGTTGTTGGTTTGCTAATTAATTATGCTTCAGGTATGAATATTTAAGGTGATTTAAACATGCCAGATCTGCTTTTTACTCATAAACAACATAAATTAACCTGCAGGGAGATATACAGAGTGTAATATATAAAATATAAATATAAAATCAAGTGGTCACATCACATGACCATTCATGTACCACAGAATGTCTTTACACATGTCACTGTCATCCACTGTTGGTGGCAAAAAAAAATAAACATGGCTCCCACTCCCAGTCAAGCAATTGGGAGAATAACAGAAGATTGTTATATTAAATTGAAGGATTAAAGAGTAAGTAAGCCACAGACCTTTAAATCTGACCAGAAATCAGATTTTCTGATAATTATTTTAACCTTTCTCTGTCGAGGGTAAAAACACAGTCATTGATTCAACTCGGTGGTTTTAACAGACGTCTCAGATGACGTCATGTGAAAGCAGTTGTACAATGTTTTTTTTGTTTTTTACTGATGTTCACTTGCAGTTTTTGTTTACTGGTATCTTTCAGCTGTGGCCATGAGTTTAACATGTCCCGGCCTGTACTGTGGTCGCATTATGGTGAACGGATCGATGGAGGAAGAGTGTGGCGTGAGTACCAAACACCTTTACCTACACGCCTCACTGCACAGAACAGTCGAGTGAAGCATCTGACCAATGAGAAGCCAACAGAGCCGACGGGTCGGTGTCGAACAGCATCAGTTCAGATAGAAAGATACATACTTTATTAATTACCAATAGGTAATTCAACCTGCTTGTTAAAACTCCAAGACTTTGAGCCACTTGAAGAAGAGTAAGATCGTGTCTGAGGCTTGGATTTTACTTGACAAATGCTTGACATCGTTTCGTTTGACTGATCCAGATTTTGATGATAAAATATTTCTATGAAGGTAGTTCAGGGAGTTTTTTTTTTTTTCATTTGTGACTAAATTTAATATAAGCATAAGTTAAAAAAAAAAAGAAAGAAACACATTGTCTATGTTCAAAATATTCCCCTATTCACACGCTCACTAGATTATTGTCACGACTATATAGGTGATACGGGACAGCTTGGGGTTTCGAAAACTACTTGACTGCATCAGTACTTCATATTAATGTGCTGAGCATCCACAGTCAGGTTTCACATAAATAAACATTAGCAAGATAACGTTGGAATACACTCCTGACATCCTTTAGCTGGTTTTGGCTAAGAAAATGTGCTTAACATCATTTGTCTTCAGAACACTGATATAAAACTTATTTAAACTTATCTGTTACACTACTTTGTTGTATTTTATAATTGTACATGATTCCAGGCTGTAGAGCAACATTTTAAAGTTGTATTATGTTGTAAAAACGAGCCATGTGACATCTTTACGGCTGAAATGCGGCTCACGTTTACATCATATCTTTGTCAAGTTTTATGTTAAGACTTAAAGGTTCATCAAAAATTATAAAGTCAAACATAAAAATTGTTCTCCTGAGCGATATCAAGTGGTCAATGACTTTACACCAGTTTGTTCCAGATATTGAATGCAAGTCAGAAATTAGGGTAGGCACTCGATGTAAACTTCTTTTTTCAGCTTTTCCCTCTTCAGGGGGTCTCTACATCGCGTCATCCTCCATCTCACTCTGTCCTCTGCATCCTCTGTCCTCACTCCAAATACCTCCATGTCCTCTCTAACTGCATCCATAAATCTCCTCTCTGTCTTTGTTCCTGGCAGCTGCATTTCTAACATCCTTCTACCAATATACCCACTGTTCCTCCTCTGGACATGTTCAAACCATTTCAGTCTGGTCTCTCTAACTTTTATCTCCCAGTTGTTCAGCCTGTGCTGCACCTCTGATGATCTCATTCCTAATCTTATTCATCCTTGTCACTCCTAAGGAGAACTTCAACATCTTCGTTTCTGCTACTTCCAGTTCTTTCTCCTGTCTTTTTGTCCATGTCTCTGTCTCCAGATCTTACAACATAGCTGATCTCACCACTCTTGTAAACTTAACCTTTATTGACACCCTTTTCTCACAAATCACTCCTGAAACTTTTCTCCATCCTGCCTGGACTCTCTTCTTCACCTCTTTACCACACACCCCATTTTCCTGGACAGCTGACCCCAAGTACTTGAAGTCCTGCACCTTTGTGACCTCTGCTCCTTGTAGCCTCACTGTTCCACCTCCTCCCTCTCATTCACAGACTACAAATCATGTTTATCTGCATACTTTACTCAGCATATTACAATTATCAGACTTCTCCATCCCAAATGGCTCTTATGCGGACGACACTGTTATTGACCTATTTTTGTGTCTGTAAGTAAACGAATACATGATAGTTGGCATCTGGTCACAAATTTTTAATTTAAGGACACATTAACCATCAATATGAGTGGAAAAAAATCCTTTCTATTTTTTATTAATTTTTAATCAGACTCCATGACACTGCACTGACTGCCTTTGAAATTAAAAG